TGTCTTTTTTATCTTCTCTAATTTTCATATAATTTCTTTCTGAATCTTTTTAAAAAATTTTAAAAATTGACTTCAGAGAGAGGAAGGGAGACAGAGAAAGAGAGAAACATCTATGTGAGAGAGAAACATTGATCAGTTGCTTCCCACATGAGCTCTGACAGGGGATAGAACCATGGAGGATAGAACTGGCAACCTGGGTGTGTGCCCTGATGGAGAAGTAAACCTGCCACCTTTGGGTACACAGGATGACACTCCAACCAACTGAGCCACACTGGCCAGGGATCTTTCCAACATTTTTTATGTGTATCACTCAACCACCTCTATTCTGGGAATCTCAATATCTCTGCTTGTTTTGAGTGCTGGCCATTCACTTGAATTAGATGATATGGTTGTTGGTGTCAGAATCCACATTTTATACTTAATTTGTTTCCCCCCAAGTATCTATAGCATTGCTACACACCATTGGTGCGTAATTAACATCTGTTGATTGAATGAATAACCAGCTACTTAAGAATAGAAAGAAATTAACATACAACTTTAAGAAGTATTACCACATTTTCAAATTAAAGTTAGAATTAAGATCAAACTCATAGGCTGAGTTCACTCTAATTAATGCCACATCACATTAAAGCTTTCAATTCAGTAAAAATATTAAATAAAAACAATTTTTTAATAAAAAAAATTTCCACTGATTGGCTAAGGCTTTTAATTTTAAGTTGGTAATTGGATGTTGTCTATATATTATTAGATAGTTGCACAACTAGTATATTATATGACAATATCAGTCGGTGTACTGCATACCACCAATTTCCAGGATTGATTTTTTTAAAAATGAATGTATCCCGATATATTAACATTCTGCCTGTATATACCTCAGCATTTCTTTTAACAATTCATTAAATTTGGGGTGTTCAAAGATTTCTATTTAGGAAATAATGTCTGACTATTCACATTAAAATATATTAAAGTTTAAGGACACTTGGTTTAATGTAATCATACGTTTTTAAAGTGTGTATGTAGGTTTGCATATTTATTATTCACAGGCACTTCAAAATATTTGACATTGAACCAGGCATTATAAGAGTCAGGAAAATATCCAAGGGAGAGGATGATATCCAACATGAAACCACAGGAAAATCACCCATTAAGAAAAATAAAATATCTCTGTTAAAATCATTGGTTTGAGTTTGAGGATGAACTGCTGATTCTGCAAATCCCTCCATTCACTCTGAAAAAAAAAATACATTGAACGCGAATAGAGGAAACACTGCATTAGATGCTATAAAACAGGGGACTGAAGGTGAATGTAATAACTGCATGTGGGAAAATCTAGAATTGGGCAGCGTTTCATGAATATGCATGCCCATAAAGATCTCATTTGGGGCTTCTCTTCTTTAATAGAACATTTGTGCATTTTAATGGACAGTCATGAACTTTGCTTAATCACCTTTTGTGGACTTTAATATAAAATAAGTATTCCAAGCTCATTTCTCCTGGGTGAAATGGACTGGAGAAGTTCAGGAATGTTCCCATCCATCAAAAACACAGATGATAGAACCCATTCAGCTGCCATGTCAGAGACTGGCCTCATTCTCCCTGTCTTTTCCTGCCCTTTCTGATCGGGA